AATACGAAAGTTGTGATGAACCTGTTCTTGATTCACAACAAAACAACAGTTTTGATACGAAAGTTGTGATGAACCTGTTTTTGATTCACAACAAAACAACAGTTTTAATACGAAAGTTGTGATGAACCTGTTTTTGATTCACAACAAAACCACAATTTCAATACGAAAGTTGTGATGAACCTGTTCTTGATTCACAACAAAACAACAGTTTGAATTAAACGAACTCTACAATCGTGGAAAATGAAATAACTCGTCAAGGAGTTGGCGGAGTCCCCTTTTTTTCAGAGCATATTGTTTTAACCAGGGGTAAATATAGTGTCGATTATATAGACCCTTCTAACGTGTACGATGGATTACTGAATTTAATAATCTCTGCTATACTTGGATTCATATTTCATATAGTTCAATGACTAAACTGATCTATGTTTATTTCTCCAGATTTATAAAAACATTTTCGGAGTGTTATGTCCAAATATACAACTTTATCGAACAAGATAAAAAAAAATGCTTAAAATAAAAATCGTCCTAACCTAATTACCTAATTTTTAGTTTTACTAATTATTTCATGAGAAGTTTCCACAATCGAATAATAAGTGTGTTCATAACTTTTTATATTTGTTTTATGTAATATATTCTCCGTGTTTGCACTTTCTTCAGGTAGTTTTAGCACTATAGTTTTAAATATATTAAGTTTCGGGCCCGTTTCAATATCAGGAGCAAGGCCTGCCCTCTGTGTGTTCGATTTTTCACTCATTTTCACACACGTTGCAAAGTAGATGTAAACATTTTTATGTTTCAAAACAAACCTCATTAACAGCAGTGCACATGTAAATTTATGTTGTTTGTTTGTGTGCTAAGCCACACAACAGGCCATCAGCGTTTTATCCACCAAGGGAATCGAACTCCCGAGTTATTGCGTAAAGCTCGAGAGCTTACTGTTGAGCCAATGAAGGGGTGGGGGGAGCTATAAGTTGACGTAACACGGAAAACTCGCGTTTCAATCCCATAACACCAACCGCTAAACGTTAACTTCTCACGCCCACGTATTTGACTCAGTCCAGCTAAACTAACCAAGACTTTTGATTCAAGCCATTTGGATTACATATCATCACATGTTTTCTACAAATTAGCTTTGATCGGCCTTACATCCTTCTTCTTCTTCTTCGTATAAGAAGAAACTGAAATGATTTAAGATCGGGCGTTGCCCTGTAACTTTTATGTTCAAATGATCTAATAAATATATTTAATTAATTTCTCAAGAATATAAATAAATAGACGACAGAAAGTAAAATTCAATTGTGATTCCCAAATATCATTGCTCGTGACTTCTTTAACGGTCGAAAAATGTTGCTTTCCACGAACCACTGCTAGAGTTTGACGTTAGGCACGACGTGGTTTCACTCACGACCCGTGTTTTTATTTTGTTTTTTAAAGTTTGACTTGTCAGCAGAGAGTACCATGAATTAGCAGACCTCATGTATGCAATAATCCCTGGAAATAGCTGTACCTTTTTTTTTAATTATTTAACCTAGAACACAGGAAGCTCAAGGCTGAGACTGGAACACCAGAAGATACGACCGTTCAGACAAAACGGTTCTTATCGATACAGGAGGTAGGGTGGTAACGGATTTCCTGGCAACATGGCTTCAGATACAGTGAAAACATATTGTGTATTGTGGTGCTAACTTAAATGTTCGAAGTTATTTCTCTCCAGCAGATCTGAGTTGATCTGACTGAGTTTTCGTGGATAAATGTTTTTGTAAACACTGGTTGGTTACCTAAGAGAAAAGTGATACTATGGACCGAAGGAGACTACTTTTGTAATTAAAGAAAAAAAGAACTTATGCACAACTTGAAACAATGGATAGCCCACTACGTTTTCACTTTTTAGCATTATATTTCGTTTCGGTGTTTACAGAAATTCCAGTCTTGCTAGGTAAGATTATAAAGTGTTTTATCCTAAAGTGTTTATTATAAAGTGTTTTATCCTGAAGTGATCGGCAAGGTTTCAAACTTCACCACAATCTATTTATATATGTTTAATATTGTAGGAAAATGTTATTATTATCATTATTTTGTTAATGAACAATTTAAATGGTTTCAATGTGTCATATTCCGTACTTCAACTATTTAGTAAAATTACGCGTGTGTAATATGTATTATTTTGTTAATGAACAACTTAAATGGTTTCAATGTGTCATATTCCGTACTTCAACTATTTAATAAAACTACGCGTAATATGTATTATTTTGTTAATGAACAACTTAAATGGTTTCAATGTGTCATATTCCGTACTTCAACTATTTAATAAAACTACGCATTTAAGTTGTTCATTAACAAAATAATACATATTACGCGTAGTTTTATTAAATAGTTGAAGTACGGAATATGACACATTAAAACCATTTAAGTTGTTCATTAACAAAATAATACATATTACGTTTCAATGTGTCATATTCCGTACTTGAACTATTTAGTAAAACTACGCGTGTGTAATATGTATTATTTTGTTAATGAACAACTTAATAGGTTTCAATGTGTCATATTCCGTACTTGAACTATTTAGTAAAACTACGCGTGTGTAATATGTATTATTTTTTAATGAACAACTTAATAGGTTTCAATGTGTCATATTCCGTACTTCAACTATTTAGTAAAACAGTACGCGTGTGTAATATGTATTATTTTGTTTGTTTTTCAGAATTACACAACAGTTATCTGTGCTAGATGTACGCCCTCTAGTGGCTTGGTGGCAAGGGGGCACAGTAAAGATAGCTCATTGTGTAGTTTTATGCTTAATTCTAAACAAACCAACAAAAAACAAGCAAGATGTCCCCTAGCGTTGAAATGACACACTAGAGTGAAGGCAGCTAGCTACTAACAACTCTCAGGCTACTCACGTACATAATGTCCAAAAAGTCTAGAAGCATAGGTGATTTGTAGCTTTTATTAATTTCAGATATGTGACTGATTATGGCGCTGTCAAAGTATGAGAAGGTTGAGTTAATCCTGCTGTTAATCTAAACGTTTTTCGAATTACAAGGACAGCATGTGGAACACATGCTGTAAAATTTGTTGAAGTTTTTAAAATTACAGACTTCTCGGACACTCTGTATAACTACTGGGATTTGACCTACACACTTATAACTCACCCACAGCTTTAAAGTGCAAATTGCATTTCCCAGCAACGGGTCGTAAATTATGAATATTCTGGGAATTTTCATAGAAAGAGCACACGAACTATTAGGCCACACCCAGCCCAACAAGATGGGACATAAGTCCTAGCTAGTTTTAGATATTTGATTTTAAAAAAAGAAACACAAAAAGAAGGATTTAATGTATAAATTGAGCTCTTGGTTATTATAGTACAGATTTTTTTTTCTTCTGTAATTAAAGGTTTCAAGCAGGTTTTGAAACGACATCTGTGAACGAACCAGCGCCAATTCCCTAATTGTTATGTATTTATTTTTGGTAGAATGAACGAGGACCCGGTTAATACTGTACATTTGTTACAATATCATAATAATTAAGTTACAAACTCGATTTTCCCATATTGTTAACTCTTCGTAGTCAGGACAACATTTTCTCGGTTTTCCCATATTGTTAACTCTTCGTAGTCAGGACAACATTTTCTCGGTTTTCCCATATTGTTAACTCATCTTAGTCAGGACAACATTTTACTTATTAACTGATAATGTATTGTTCGTGTGACATTGGACACCAGTTTCTTAAAATAAACTACAAATTAGAAGTCAGATCATTCGGTAATTGCTCGTGCTCACGGTTGTCGAATCCATTTTGTGGGCGTTCATTTTATGTGTGTGTGTGCACGTGTTTTCTGAACACGCGCAACTGTTCACCCATGAAATTTTTTTCAGTTAGTAATTTTACTCAATTAAAAAACAACAAAAAACACAGAACAAAAACACACACACACCATAGGATATGCAAGTATGATCTGTGTTATCGGTTAAGACCACTACTTTAAAGTATTTCGTATATGGATTTTTATAAATGTGTGTTAGAATAAGTAAGAATGTTTAGTTGTAACCATTGTTATTTTCGGGGAATATTTATTTATCAGGAAATGAATATTTCGCAAAGTTGTTAATCATTGTAAATAAACAGTGGGGGACGCATAGACTCATGTTTAGTTTTATAAATAAGTAATTATTTCCTCAAAACTCAACACAGCTATCGGTTCCTTCCTCAAGACTCAGCACAGTTACCAGTTACTTTCTCAACACTAAACACAGCTACCAGTTACTTTCTCAACACTAAACACAACAACTACTTACTTTCTCAACACTAAACACAACAAACACTTACTGTATCAACACTAAACACAACTACCACTTACTTTCTCAACATTAAACACAACAACCACTTACTGTATCAACACTAAACACAACAACCACTTACTGTATCAACACTAAACACAACAACCACTTACTGTATCAACACTAAACACAACTACCACTTACTTTCTCAACACTAAACACAACAAACACTTACTTTCTCAACACTAAACACAGCTACCAGTTACTTTCTCAACACTAAACACAACAACTACTTACTTTCTCAACACTAAACACAACAACCACTTACTTTATCAACATTAAACACAACTACCACTTACTTTATCAACACTAAACACAACAAACACTTACTTTCTCAACACTAAACACAACTACCACTTACTGTATCAACACTAAACACAACAAACACTTACTTTCTCAACATTAAACAGAGCTAGCAGTTACTTCACAACCTACAACACAGGTATCAGATATTTCTCAACAAACAACACAGGTACCAGTTATTTTTTCAACACTCATCACAATTATCAGTTAGCTCTTCAACAAAGAACGTTACAGCATGCTAATGCCACTGTTAAAGATAAACAGTGTATATATTTCCCTGCTTTCTTCTATGTCTGCAACAGGTTTATGAAATTTACTTTCGTTTATTTCAAAACACTTTGTCTCACAAAACCTTGACACGAAACATGTTCAAACACTGCGTGAGGCCTTCAGTTGCTTGAGAAAACATTACAGATTTACAATCTACTCGTTTGAGTTGTTCTCGAATAACTCGATTAGAAAAACTACTTCTTATTTCTGAAACTTCAAATCAGCTTATTAAAGAAACTATAAAACTCCTCCAGCCTAGTTTTTACGGAAAACATGGCGCCGTACAGAAATGATTCTCTAATGTTTGGTCAAAGTTGAATGATACTGTTCCCGAGTTAAAATTAACACCAGAAATTCGACCAAGTAACATTTTCTGTTTGCTAGTTTGCACGTAAAAAGCCCCCCAGTGGCAGAGCGTTATGTCTGCGGACTTACAACGCTAGAAACCGGGTTTCGATACCCGTGGTGGGCAGAACACAGACAGCCCTTGTGTAGCTTTGTGCATAATTAAAAACAAACAAACAAGCATGTAAAAAACTTATTGTTTTCTATTTGTACCTTCTGTGTATTTCATGTATTTTTTACTGAGTTTTGTTGTTGTCATGGAGAAAGATGCGAGTTAGCCCTGTAGTAGAACTATGGATTTCGGAGCTAGCGAGCCGGGTTTGAATCCGTGCGATACTACAAAACGTTCCCCAAATTTTAACCTGTGGGTACGTTATAAAAATCACACTTTAAACTGTGCGTGCGTTATAAGTGTGAAAGTCAATCCCTTAACATGTATGGCGGGTGGTATAATGTTGCTGACTGGGCTACCTTCTGTCTGGTCAGTAGTTCAAAATTAAAGATGGCGGCAGAGAGCCTTTGTACAAAAACGTTTAATTTTAATTGGGAGGCCGATAACAGAATACTCCAGTTCGCACGCGTCACTAGCTACTTATAAAATAATAGTTCCCAAGGTGCATTTTCCTACGAAGAAGATAGGTAGTATATCTAAAATTTATTCCTTTATAACACCATTTGCCCGGAATGGCCAGGTGGTTAGGGCTTCGGCATGGCCAGGTGGTTAAGGTGCTCGACTCGCAATCTGAGGGTCGCGGGTTCGAATCATGCTCGCCCTTTCAGCCTTTGGGGCGTTCTAATGTGACGGTCAATCCCACTATTCGTTGGTAAAAGCGTAGCCCAAGAGCTGGCGGTGGGTGGTGATGACTAGCTGCCTTCCCTCTAGTCTCACACTGCTAAATTAGGGACGGCTAGCGCAGATAGCCCTCGTGTAGCTTTGCGCGAAATCCAACAACAAACATAACAGCATTTTAAAAATATTTTCAGGATATACGTGTGGAACACCAGGAAGACCTGTAGACGGCTGGTATGCACCTTCAAAGGACGAATACTCACCTGGTGAGAATGTTACTTACTACTGTGGAACGCGAAATGTCATGATCGGCAGCGATATCCGAGTGTGCCAATCCAGTGGTTCCTGGAGCGGCGCGATTCCTTTTTGTGGTAATGTTCATAACTTTTTCTAAATTACTTTGAGTGCATTTTGTGGTAATATTTTGATTTTTGTTTCCAAGTTACACACATATATATATCGCAATACCTTTATCCTGGTTGTCAACTTATTGTCATAACTGATAATGTCTGTGGTAATAGCACCCAAATGCGTTGGAGAAATCCCATCTATCAGACAATATCCAAACGCCGATGTCAATCTAGTCAGCCTTCATGGAAAATTATTTTAAAAAATCAATCAAATAAGGGTACGAAGCTGAGTACTTACACCCACAACGTTTCAGCATCTACTTCCTTTCACTGTTTATAGCCAGTTGTGGGAAGGCAGTTAGTTACCCTTACATTTCTTAAAGTAGAAATGAACTGAAATAAAGTCACTCTAATATTTCTACTAATTAAACTCCCAACCTCCACCCTTCAGAAATATATTAAATAGAACTAAACAGAACTATAAGATATTAAATAGAACTAAACAGAACTATAAGATATTAAATAGAACTAAACAGAACTATAAGATATTAAATAAAACTAAATATAACTATAA